GAACACCTATGGCATTATAGTTATTATGTATATGGTTTGATGCCCTTACTTCCATATTCAATGAAAGAATGCCTGTGCGATTATAGTTATTACGTATGTGATTTGATGCCTTTACTTCCATATTAAATGAAAGAATACCTATGGTATTATAGTTATTATGTATGTGGTTTGATGCCCTTACTTCCATATTAAATGAAAGAACACCTATGGCATTATATTTATTATGTATATGGTTTGATGCCCTTACTTCCATATTCAATGAAAGAATGCCTGTGGGATTATAGTTATTACGTATGTGGTTTGATGCCCTTACTTCCATATTAAATGAAAGAACACCTATGGCATTATAGTTATTATGTATATGGTTTGATGTCCTTACTTCCATATTCAATGAAAGAATGCCTGTGGGATTATAGTTATTACGTATGTGATTTGATGCCTTTACTTCCATATTAAATGAAAGAATGCCTATGGCATTATAGTTATTACGTATGTGCTTTGATGCCCTTACTTCCATATTCAATGAAAGAACACCTATGGCATTATAGTTATTATGTATATGGTTTGATGCCCTTACTTCCATATTCAATGAAAGAATGCCTGTGGGATTATAGTTATTACGTATGTGATTTGATGCCTTTACTTCCATATTAAATGAAAGAATACCTATGGTATTATAGTTATTATGTATGTGGTTTGATGCCCTTACTTCCATATTCAATGGCAGAAAATCTATGGCATTATAGTTATTATGTATATGGTTTGATGCCCTTACTTTCATATTCAATGAAAGAATGCCTGTGGGATTATATTTATTACGTATGTGATTTGATGCCTTTACTTCCATATTAAATGAAAGAACACCTATGGCATTATAGTTATTATGTATATGGTTTGATGCCCTTACTTCCATATTCAATGAAAGAATGCCTGTGGGATTATAGTTATTACGTATGTGATTTGATGCCTTTACTTCCATATTAAATGAAAGAATACCTATGGTATTATAGTTATTATGTATGTGGTTTGATGCCCTTACTTCCATATTCAATGACAGAAAATCTACGGCATTATAGTTATTATGTATGTGGTATGATGCCCTTACTTCTATATTCAATGAAAGAATACCTATGGTATTATAGTTATTACGTATGTGGTTTGATGCCCTTACTTCCATATTAAATGAAAGAACACCTATGGCATTATAGTTATTATGTATATGGTTTGATGCCCTTACTTCCATATTCAATGAAAGAATGCCTGTGGGATTATAGTTATTATGTATGTGCTTTGATGTCCTTACTTCTATATTCAATGAAAGAAAATCTATGGCATTATAGTTATTATGTATGTGGTGTGATGCCCTTACTTCCATATTAAATGAAAGAATGCCTGTGGGATTATAGTTATTATGTATGTGGTTTGATGCCCTTACTTCCATATTCAATGAAAGAACACCTATGGCATTATAGTTATTATGTATATGGTTTGATGCCCTTACTTCCATATTCAATGAAAGAAAATCTATGGCATTATAGTTATTATGTATGTGATTTGATGCCCTTACTTCCATATTAAATGAAAGAATGCCTGTGGGATTATAGTTATTATGTATGTGGTGCGATACCCTTACTTCCATATTAAATGAAAGAATGCCTGTGGGATTATAGTTATTATGTATGTGGTGTGATGCCCTTACTTCCATATTAAATGAAGAATGCCTATGGCATTATAGTTATTATGTATATGGTTTGATTCCCTTACTTCCATATTAAATGAAAGAAAATCTATGGCATTATAGTTATTATGTATGTGATTTGATGCCCTTACTTCCATATTAAATGAAAGAATGCCTGTGGGATTATAGTTATTATGTATGTGGTGCGATACCCTTACTTCCATATTAAATGAAAGAATGCCTGTGGGATTATAGTTATTATGTATGTGGTGTGATGCCCTTACTTCCATATTAAATGAAGAATGCCTATGGCATTATAGTTATTATGTATATGGTTTGATTCCCTTACTTCCATATTAAATGAAAGAATGCCTGTGGGATTATAGTTATTATGTATGTGGTGTGATGCCCTTACTTCCATATTCAATGAAAGAATGCCTATGGCATTATAGTTATTATATATATGGTGTGATGCCCTTACTTCCATATTAAATGAAAGAAAATCTATGGGATTATAGTTATTATGTATATGGTTTGATGCCCTTACTTCCATATTAAATGAAAGAATGCCTATGGCATTATAGTTATTATGTATGTGGTTTGATGCCCTTACTTCCATATTCAATGAAAGAACACCTATGGCATTATAGTTATTATGTATATGGTTTGATGCCCTTACTTCCATATTCAATGAAAGAATGCCTGTGCGATTATAGTTATTACGTATGTGATTTGATGCCTTTACTTCCATATTAAATGAAAGAATACCTATGGCATTATAGTTATTATGTATGTGGTTTGATGCCCTTACTTCCATATTCAATGAAAGAATACATATGGGATTTTAGTTAGTATGTATGTGGTGTGATGCCCTTACTTCCATATTCAATGAAATAATACATATGGGATTCTAGTTAGTATGTATGTGGTGTGATGCCCTTACTTCCATATTAAATGAAAGAATACATATGGGATTCTAGTTAGTATGTATGTGGTGTGATGCCCTTACTTCCATATTCAATGAAAGAATACATATGGGATTCTAGTTAGTATGTATGTGGTGTGATGCCCTTACTTCCATATTCAATGAAAGAATACATATGGGATTCTAGTTAGTATGTATGTGGTTTGATGCCCTTACTGTCATATTCAATGAAAGAATGCATATGAGATTCTAGTTAGTATGTATGTGGTTTGATGCCCTTACTTCCATATTCAATGAAATAATATATGTGGGATTCTAGTTAGTATGTATGTGGTGTGATGCCCTTACTTCCATATTCAATGAAAGAATACATATGGGATTCTAGTTAGTATGTATGTGGTGTGATGCCCTTACTTCCATATTAAATGAAAGAATACATATGGGATTCTAGTTAGTATGTATGTGGTGTGATGCCCTCACTTCCATATTCAATGAAAGAATACATATGGGATTCTAGTTAGTATGTATGTGGTTTGATGCCCTTACTTCCATATTCAATGAAAGAATACATATGGGATTCTAGTTAGTATGTATGTGGTGTGATGCCCTTACTTCCATATTCAATGAAAGAATACATATGGGATTCTAGTTAGTATGTATGTGGTTTGATGCCCTTACTTCCATATTCAATGAAAGAATACATATGGGATTCTAGTTAGTATGTATGTGATTTGATGCCCTTACTTCCATATTCAATGAAATAATACATATTGGGATTACAGTTATTAAGTGATTTGATGCCATACCTCCATATCAGCTGAGCCACCCACGTCTTTAGCCCATTCATAAGAAACAATCTCGTTATCGTCACTACTCTGTGATCCATCCAGGAGAACGTAACTTCTTGATATTGCAACAACACGTTTTGGTCCTGTATTGGCCACGGGTGGAAAATCAACCTCTGAAAATGAAATAAAATTGTAGTGTAGTGCAGTGCAATCCTATGTTGCTTGGTGTTGTACAACTAGGTATAGTTGGTAAGAATATGGCCTTTAAAATTAGATTCATATTTTTATCACGACTTTACAAAAATAAAAGTCCCATACCGTTAACTACAGGTCTCCATGTATTCTCGGAGCAAGGCTCTGTTAAAAGAAATAATCCGTGTTAAGAATTCTAGTGCATCTAAATGTTACATTGATATACTTTAACAACGTGGTGGGACAATGCGTTATATTCGTTTTATACGTTCTGTAAACATAATAATCTTGTTTTTATTCATAATCGCTATTGTTCTACAACAATAGAAAATTAAGTCTATGGATTTAATTATGCATAATATAATATAAATATTTCTATGGTAAACAGGAATATTATATAATTACCTTTCAATATATTTCTGTACTCCATGCCATCGAAGTATGGGTCAAAACACGCATCGGATAATATGTACTGCATGGTTTCGTAAGAAATTCTGTCAGAAGCCAGTTCTGTTGAACTTCTGCTGTAATAGTCGATCACTATTTGGTCTTCTGGGCAGACGTTTCCGGGGGTTACATGTGCACACGTGTGGACGATGGAAAAGTCAATATAATTGGTGCTCACCACTCGAATGATGCGAGCTAATTGCAAATGAAAAAAATATTTCGTTAAACGGGGAATATGACATTCCTCCAGCACGTTTGAACCACGTATAGCCTGCTGCCCTCGCCAACTAGGATTCGTGTATTTGGCCATCGTCTTACTACTATATCGTGAAACATTGCGATTAGGACGATGCTACCCTTACTGTTAATGAGCAGCTGACGCATTCACAGTGGTTAGCAGATTGTAAAGAGAATCAATCGTAAAAAAATATAAATCTAGAATAGTTTGTCATAGTTGTCGGTTAAAAATGCGTAAAACTGATATTCACTGTTGACCAATAATGGTCTATCCAAAAGAACGATGTTGAAATTTAAAAAAAAAAAAATCTGCACAGAGAAAAGAAAAGAAAAGTTACTGAAACAAACATTTAAAAAATTCCACAAGGAAAGTACTGAAGCAAATGTTTTTAAATAATGATATGAATGAAATGTGATAATTGTACCCTCGAAAAAAATGAACGACCCAGCCTTGATGTATGTCGCGAGTTTTGCTGTCAACTCCGCTAGCATAGTTTCAGAATATGATAAAACAGAATATACTGACATGGTTCATCCGGTAACTTCACTTGCCAAACAGCGTTGTTGTTCTCCAATGGTCGAGCTCTTCCAATAAATGGCAATTGTGAACATTGACCATTCTCCCTGCAACGCAATGCATGGCGGTAATATTGTTGGAATGTGTATATTTAGTAGCCCTGTGCACATCTAAGGTTGTGATCAGGTGGGTAGGTGATTCCCAACTGCATTAGGTGCTTGCGCACTTCAAGTTAAAGAGTGAGTGTACCAAACTGATGGATGATATTATTACATATGCGCATGTACAACTCCACTGTTAACAGAGAAAGATACATCGCAGTGTACGTTTTACCACATTGCTTGAAATTGTTGTGAATTGGAAACTGATGAATTATTGCTGAAACCCTAGCTTCTTATCTTTGTTTGAACTTGTTTATGTAGATTATTTCAAGTACGTCATTTTATCTATGTCATCGCGATAAAACGCCTAGAATGCAATGCCCAACTGTAGGTCATCAAGCTTTGAGCTAACACGTGCAAAAAACTAAATTATGGTTCAAAACCCAGAAATGAATAAGCGAATATTCCTCGGTGATTCCTATCTGGCTATTTATCGGAAAACGGCTGTCATGTGTGAGTTGTTCCACTATCGCGGTATGACGTAGTACTCACCGGAGATGACGTATATATTACAATGTACTAATAATTACTTACTCTCTGAGTCCAGGATCTTCTATAAGAACGGTACCATCATCTTGAAGTGTCAGTAGCATTCTTTCGATGTCTGGCTTCGCTGGTTCAATACTGAGGTCGTATGATGACAGTTTGTACCATATGCCCATATACTGCAATAAATATCAACTACTCAATGATATTACAGACTCAAAATTACGGTGGCCGATAATTACCAGTAAGATTTGTATCAAAGATCTGCAGCACACAATGTGCAATTAAAATTTTCATTTCACTGAAAACTTTTATTATTATTTTATTATTGTCGCAAGAAAATAAGTATAATTTGTAACCCAACCATTAATGAGATCTGGCAGTATTAGAGTTGAAGATCATTATTTATGTTGGATGTCAACTGTAGCAATAGAGGACACTTTATCGTAAAAAAACAACAAAATTACATATTCTGAAAAAAATTATATAAAGAAACACAGTAACCATTTTTCTTTCTCCCTCTCCTTCAAGTTTAGTAGATTGTGCTTTGTTACTTCTTTGCTAAAATTCTAGAATTTTGTTTGATTTATCTAAAATGTCTTTATAAATATTAATCAGTAAACAATTCATTTCTTTATTGTAGAACAATGTTCTCTTCGTTTCCAATGTTTTAGAGGGACTGTGGTTATAAATTTTTGACAAAATCTAAAGTTTTCATCCTTCTCTGTTGCATACATTTTTCACAGTATTTCTGACAGGTATTTTTTTCAAATTTAAAGATTGTTTTAAATAACCTATATGTTCTTAATTAATTACTATTTGTTTTCATTATTTTGACTATTATTAAGCTGTTTCTCTAATGATTGAATGTATTCGTGTGTTACATGACTCGAACACAGTAACTACCCCTAACATATATAATGGTTGAATCTGACCATTACACGATACTCACGCTCTCAAGGTCGAAGTCTTTTCTGTTTGAATGTTGGGAACGTAACATTGGTCTTCAGTCGCGGTAACTTCTTCTGAATAGAAATGAAGAGATCATTACATGAGCCAATTGATCATTCAATCTTTCAATCATTATCTGTATTATCGTTCGATATTATCTTAGTTTACACTTTCTACAAGCACGTAAATGAACAGTGTCATCAGATCAACGCATGTCAACCTACTGTTATTGTTCGTATTTTCTCTGATTGGTCCTTACATACATGCATACACTACACTTTATACGTAATTCATACCAACGCAATAACCGTTAAACATTGTTCACGTTCGTAACTAGTACTATATCGTCACAGAAAACCCTAAACTTGATCAAGCCCGAGACATAATTTGATTCTTTTTATTTCTGTGAATACACACCAGGTTTGTTAGACGCTCTTTAAAAGTAGGTGTTATTTAAGCAATCGTGTTTTTGTGATCCTAATGTACAAAAAGAACTACATGAAAGTTTTTTTTTCTTCTGAACGTTGTATCAAAGCAAGCTAGAAGTTTATTTAAATTACCTGCATAATTCCTGGTTTTACACAACCCTAACTTGTCACAAACTTGGTTTGGTTCCAAACCTTCGTTCACCAGCATTTCGATGATAATACTAGCATACTGTTCTACAAACGTGACCACTAGACAAATGCAAAATAACTGATCATGCATAATTAGTCACCTCATTGAGTGCAAGCTATTTCCAGCTCGCTGTGCGGGGTAGCTCGGGTGATGAAATGTGTTTAGGAATATAAGTATAGTTTCATAACAAGCACTTTTTTCAAACTTAAAATTCACCAGTGTGTGTTTTGGAGCAAAATTTTTAGATTTTGCGTGATTTTATTGACCATCTCAAAATAAGCTGAATGGAAAATAAAAATGACTATTTTGTAATATCTATCAACGACAATCGAACAGATATCACGACTGAATCTACGGAACTGCCCGGTGAAGTTCGTTTATTTGAAAGGAACGTCTGTTGTGGATTACGAATACTGTAACTGTTGAACTACTATTACTTTGAATGCCGACATTCTGCCAACAACACAACTTCAACTTCTCAAATATAATTCGGACTGACTGATGTCCGATTCCACAATTGGTTCAGCATCATCGCTGAATCACTTCTTGGATGTATGAAAGCCCATAAATAGATATGTTACTGATATAATCACGAATTGTACATATGTATATATATGTCATTACTTCTAGTTGAGACTAGTGGTGAGTATGTGTGACATAGTATCCAGTTGTTAGAGTAT